AAAACATTTTGAAAAAAAAAAATGGATGATGTAGAAATGGCAATGACAAAAAATACAGAAACAAGGTAGGGATGAATACACAAAACCACACAAAAATCCCTACATAAGTAGCCAAATCTTTCCAAAAAAGTTTTTATATCTAAACTAAATGTTGAATTCCTTTCATGTGCATGAATTCAGTTTTAAGCGAAAACATTTAAACTAAGTAATGCTATAAAGTCTTACAATGGCTAATTCCCATAAGCTTATAACATTGATTCAGTGGCTAATTATGTAGGGATTTTTGTATGATTTTGTGTATTCATCCCTACCTTGTTTCTGTACTTTTTTTTCAATGCTTGAAGTTGTTGCGATGACTTACACACTAAAATGTTGCATTGTAAGGAACTGGCGGGTAGCGTAACAGCCAAATGTTTACTTGATTATTCTGCTTCTGGCATCAGAAGGGCTAGCTTACCAATGCTTGAAGTTGTTGCAATGACTTACACACTAAAATGTTGCATTTTAACTTGAGTGCAGAAGCAATACAGCATTTTACTAACTTCAGTACATGATGTCTATCAAGACAACTCATCACACCAGACTAAAACTGCTGCCTTCATAGTAATTGCCATTAATTATAAAATATTCACTTGTATTGTTTAAAAAAATAGGGGAAACAGTTAATAAAAACAACTTCGAAAATAAAATAAGGATGGTGTAGGGATGGCAATGCCTAAGCTAGCCCTTCTGATGCCAGTTCTTTACTTTAGTGATGTTTTAGCTAAGCTGAACATCTTAATAGCTTTTTAAAACCTATGTTAAGTGTTTATAAAAGTCTCTTAGATTACTATAAGAGATTTGAGACTATGATGAGCAATATATAATATGCATCAGCCAATTTATTCCTGGCCTATCCCTACATACTCAGCACTACCATGCTTAGTGATAAAAGATGAATTGCATTGTTAATGAACCACCACAAACCATTTCTAAGCAATTTTATATTTGACCTTCAAACACGTTTTGAGATTCTTATTAAGACATTGTGAAAGATACATTGTGTACAGTGAGGAGACAATTTGGTGGTAGCATCATAATGTGGGGATACACTGAAACAGTTTTCTTAACAGATAACTGCTGCACTGTTATTTTTACAGTGAATTTAAGCTTCCTTAAAGAGAATTTCAGTTATTCTATGCAGGAAGAACAAAAGAATAAAATCAATCAATCTTGCCCATAGAACTTGCTTAACAAAACACAAGTTGCTATCTCATTTTACTAGCATCAAATAGGATTCTACTTGCAAAACACAAACGTTATATAATAAATTATGAATCCTGTAGTGGGATTATGGCCAAAAATATTGTTAATGGCTAAGGTACCCAACTTACAAAACTTTATTCTGATATCATTATATAAAGTAACATGAGAACAGTATACATAACTAGCCATATTCAACACATGGTTAATTACTAGCCCTGACCTATGTAGGTAGCTTGCTTTGATGAAAAGACAATATAAATTTTTTGCATAGTGTAATGTCTTCTCTACTAAATTCAGCTCAATGAAATAAATTAGATTTACAAATGTGTGGAAGGAACTCAGTATATCACCTTTCATTGTCGTTTACTGAGAAACATCAGGAACTGCCACTTTCTGACACAGCTTTGCCAGCAGACCAGACATTTGTAGCAGAGATGAAACCCCTTGGACAATTCTCATGTGTGTGTAGCCTATTTCCTGAAACAAAAAAAAATCAAGGCCATTTCTACTACGTCAACAGAATAACTGCCTATTACTCAATTTAAAGAAATACTGACAGGTATCACTTAGTATTTTAAGAGTTTTTGACAAAATAATATATATATATATATATATATACACACAGGGTCATCCAAAATTATCTTTTCTATTAAAACTAACGATTAAATAATTAATGAAATACAACCATGCAGTTTTCAACATCTTGTAGCCCAACTCAAAGAGTTTTATTGTCATGTTAGTTTTCACTCAAGTAAGTAGTGTTATCCCATAAAATGGTAACCATGCAAGAAAAAACTCAATGCATCATTTGGCTTACAGAATCCAAATCACTGACTGTGGTTCAGCATAATTACAGATACTAGTACAGGAAAGAACCACCATCAAAACCTACTATCTGGGAGTTGATTGAGAAGTTCTTGAAGACAGGCAATATGTTAGTGTCTGGGTGCTGGAAGGCTCTCTGTCAGTGATGAATATATAACTTTGGCATGCTTCACGAAAACTTAACATGCCTGCTCTGTGTCATTCACAAAAAACTTCATCTACATGCCTATAAACTTCAGTTGTTACAAGCACTGCAACCAGATGACAGAACAAAGAGCAAGACATTTGTGGAGAACTTCCTTGAAAGCATAGATGAAGACAACATAATTCTAGCTCATGTACTGTTTAGCGAAGAGGCTAAATTTCATACCTTAAGTAAAGTGAATCGTCATAATGACCAAGTTTTGGGCTTGGAAACTCCCAAATGACACCATTGAAATTGTGCATGATAGCTCAAAGGTGAATGTGTGACAGGATTATTGGTCTTTTCTTTTTCACTGAAAGCACTGTTACTGGGAACATGTACCTTGAAATGCTGGAACAGTTTGTTGTCACACAACTGGAGAAAATGCAACCACAGATAATTTTTCAACAGGATGGTGTTCTACCTCACTAGAATTTGCTTGTCAGACGCTTCCTAGATCAGGCATTTCCAAGGCAATGGATTAGTTGGGGTGGGCCAATTCTGTGGCTTCTGCATTTGCCAGATATCACACCACTAGACTTCTTTCTTTTGGGATATGTTATGGTTATCAAGTATTGTATACCTATAGCAAACATCATGGAGCTAAAGACAAGGATAATGGATGCCATCATCACTGTAACTGTGGACATTTTGTAACAAATGTGGACTGAAATTGAATATCGATTAGACATGCTGAAAGCCACTATCAATGTACCCGTAGAAGTCTACTGACATGTCAATAAAAACTTTTTGAGTTGGGCTATAAGATGTTGAAAACTGCATGGTTGTTTTTCCTTAGTTATTTAATTATTAAATTTTCAAATTGGAAAGGTAATGTTGGACCACCCTGTATAATAGCCAAATGTCTGCCATGCTCTGTACCTCCTGAAAGGTTAATTATAGATAAAAATCATACATCAAAAAGCATCTTTTCAAGAGTACATTACAGGAAAACAATAAATTTTTTGAAATTTTTTTTCTAAAATTTCATCTTGATATTAACATCGAATCATCAATCTTCATATGTGCTGAATGGTCAATCTGAAATTAAAATTTAAACTTTTTGTGAAGGAATTTCAGGAAAAAAAAAACTTTTTGCATAAATTGAATGAAAGAAATATTTCAAAGATAGAAACATGAATGGAAAAATGCATAAAAATAGGAACATGTTTGAGTATATATTTGTTGTTGTCCAGTTTATGTACAATTTTTTTCTCATATCAGTATTATATACATCCATGATTTTATTGCACCACATTAAATACTTATTTGAATATCTCCTCTTTGACACTTCTTAAAGAAATGACAACTGTCAAAAAGCACTCACTTCGATAGCAGTATTTTCTTGCACTCACTAAAATAACAAGGAGTGATGGCATCCAGAGGAAAAAATCCCTGCAGCTACTTAGCAAATCTGAGTGCTTTATTAGGCTGGATGCACCTATTCCATTGAAACCAAAACATTTTTCCAACAATGCATTGCAGTTACTCTTTTGCTTAAAAACAAATGCAATGCAATTTTCGTTATTGAAACAATACATTGAATGACAAAAGACAGTTGTAAACGACCCACTAGACAATCATACTGCATAATATGCTTTGATTAAAAGGATTGGGTTGACTGCACATTTCATATTTATTCATAACTATTTTTAGGAAAATTACTATTGAATTGTTTCAATGGTCATCCACTTTCATTGACTTTAAATATAATAAGTGCCCTGTACCTGCAATATTATTTTTCTATAAAGTGTTACTTTTTGTATATAATTCCTTTTCAAACTAGGTAATACAAAATTTACAACTAGATTCATTCTCATCAATCCTTTTATAACCCAACTTTATCAGATTCCCAAGGTTCCTGAGCGAATGAGAACTCCATGAGCTTCCATGAGAACCAAATTCATAAATAGAAAAAGACGGTTCCTACCATTTATTCATAAATAGGTTTTTAAACTGCTGAATTGCTAAACACTAGCTGTTTTGAAGCTAAAAAAACAAACCTACCTTTATATATTCTAGCTTCAAGTATTCTGCGATGCTCTCATTTTTGCAGACTCGGAAAATGTTACTGATAATGTCTTCTGAAGCATATCCAAGTTTCCATAGGTGGGCCATGATCTTGTAGGCATCCTCAAAGTTGCCACTTACACAGTGTTGGAGCATATCTTTGATTAGCAAAGGATGAGGTTCATCACACACCTAATTAAAAGAAATGAACACATGCTTTGCTGTACATCTGGTTCAGTAGCTTGGTGAAAGTTTAATAAACTGAGGCAATCAACACATAGCTCTACTTTAAACAACCTTCTTAACAACACTGGTAAAAGCTGTATGCTCAAGCATCTAGATACACAATGTTACTATTTAACTAAATAGTAACTGAAAGGCAAGAATCACGTAACTTATTCTGGGGCTAGTGCTTTCACAATTGGGTTGAATTACTTTACAAAGAAATATTTGCATAACCTCTAGAACTCCCTAAATGAATATATTTTTTTTCCGTAAAACTTTATTATTTATGTGTTACTTCCTCTACCATAACTCTATATGAGCTCGGTTTATTTCACCAACCTTGTAACCTTTTCTTTCTAGAATGACTGCTGACTGTAACAGAAAATTAAAATTATTCATTCTATACATCCTCAGGCTTGTAACAGTTTACATCTGTTTCTATTTAATTTTATTGCTCTTTGAACTGTGTCTAACTATTAAACCTGAATAACAAAGTTACAAATATCTGGCAAGGAAATAGGTTAAGTTACAGTAAAACAAAGTATTCAATTACGTAACGCATGTGCAGATCGCATATATAATATACCATACTGAGAAATATTTTTATTTTATTTATGTTTTTTTATGTAACCTGATATGCTTTTACATTTAAGTTACTTTAGAACAGTAAATAAAAATATACCTTATAAACAGGAAATTTAGTATTTACGTGTGGGTAATTTATTGAATTTTTATTTCAAATATTGAAATTATAACAAAATATCAACATGTACGGAGCATACATCATATAACTATTATAACTTAACTGCTTTCTAGCTAAGCTATTAGTGTGTTGAAATAATTTCCTTGCCTGGTCAAACTGAACTCAGTAATAGCAACTTTAAATCTGTACACCAAATAATTCTAAAGCTGTCGTGAGAATAAGCTAGCATTATAAGTAAATCAATAAATTAAAATATTCTCTTTCTATTGGTTATAAATAATGTAATAGCAAATGTCAGAGAATTACTGACATTTTCTGAAAGGCAGTATGTGATAAGAGGGTATGGCATGTAAGTTTGACTTTTTGATTTATATTTAAGTAAAACAAGATGACTGGAGGTTATAAAGACAGATTTTTCTCAGCAATATCTACAATATAAAGTTTGTAATTTGTAAAACTCAAAAGCTAAATAGGAGTGGAAAGATTATGTAAAATTAAGAAATAAAAACTTGTGTAATATTAAGTTACACATGCACTTTGACCTACTTGTATCCAAAGGGTTAAAGAATGGGAAAAATAGAATGTAATTTATTGTTTAGAAATCACTAAATGGGTGATCTTGTCTAACTTTTTTTTTATTCAGTTCTTTACTTAAGTATAAGTTTTCTAAGTGATGTAATATGTGGCCCCCACAAGTAGTTAAAAGTAGATAAACAAGTTGGTAGGTTGAAGGTTTATCAGCATAAGTTATAACTTACAATTTCTATCAGGAATACTAAAATATTATGTTAATTTCTCTTAGAACAATTTTGAAAACTTTAAACATTATTATAACAATATTTGAAATGGTGCATCTTGGAATCACTTTATTAAAAACAGAATCACAAAAATATTAACTAAAAGTCTCACTGAGTAACTCAGCAAACTGAGGCTGTACTTGTACATACCTTAAAGACATTGTCACTGTTGACATGACCAAACCCTGAGTATGTTGACTGAAGGTTATTCAAAGCCTGAAAGAATTGAACACAGTTGTTCACTAAAACATTACTTATATTTAATAAATCACTGGAAACATTTGGAATTCCAAGAACAATACATTTTGTCAAAGAGACCTCAATCATTATTCATGTCTATACTTGATACTTTAAAAACCTAGACAAATTTGTATCTTTACACCCAAGTCATGGGTTTTAACCATTATCTCTTTTCAGTCTATAATATTCTACTAGTAAGTAGAAATTTTCTTCAGGAGCCAGTACTCCTAAATCTGCACAAGAAAACTCTTCACTGACTACATTTTTATTAACTATCATTTCCTTTCTTCCTTTAACAACTTGCAAGTATGGAAAAAGAAATAGCAAATAATAAGGTTTTCTATCAAATATTTGTAAAGCTAACCAGATTAAAGTCATGAGAACAGATTACATGCTTTGCTTATCATTAGACTTCTGATGACAGGATTTTTGACTCTTAATGTGTGTTCTAAAGAACACCTTTGTGAATTATTTTGTTTCCTTTTGTAATGACTTTTAGACAAAAAACTTAACCAGTTGGCCTATATATAGGTAAAGTAAGCTGTATTGCTTTACTTATTACCATTTGCTTAAGTAGACATCACAGCCTATATTCCAAGCTGTCTGATGTCTCCTATATTTAGCCTATATTCCTGTCTCCTTGAGATGTAGACATCACAGCCTGTATTCTACTTGTCTAATGAGATACAGACACCACAGTGTACATTCTTACCCATCTCATGAGATGTAGACATCACAGCTTATATTCCTACCTGTCTCATGTCCCCTTGTGCAGTAAACACCACAGCCTCCATTCCATCTTCTGTGAAACTTACATCTTCCTTTTCACACACTGCAAGCAACTTGCTCAAGATCTGTGCATCTGAAAGTTTTCCAAATCGAACCATGGCACATCGGGATTGGATTGGTTCTGTAACAAAAGAAATTCTTGAACTATTCAGGAAAAAAAGGACTTTTGTGATTCAGTAAAAATTTAAAAGTGCAAATAAGTGTATCATTAACTATACAAATAAGGATGTCATGTCAAATTTCATGCACATTAACTATATCTCTAATATCATACAAGTGTTAATAAAGGGAAATCAAAGCAAATAACCATTGTGTAGGCTTAGCTGTCATTGTACACAGCCCTATATAGTGATTTCCAAATACATTTCCATACTTAGGAGCCAGCAATAAATCGTAGGGGCAAGGAGAGTCATCCCTGCCTTGCTCAAAGATGATATGCAGCAGTTTCCAATTTTGTGCAAGTTATACATTTTAGACATTAACAAAATATACAAATGGTTTTATTTTGCAATTTAATGTTTACAGTTCTGTGAAGGTGAGATATACACCCTTCTCTGTATGACTTATAATTCTTTAAAGCCCTTGGAAACTGAAGCCCTTGGAAATTGAATTAAACTTACAGCATATATGCAACTGGGCCTTCACATATGTTTAAACTATCATGCCTATATTGTTCAATTCCTTAATCCAATTGTTGTAACAAACAAAAAAATAAAATTTTCAACATGATGCAATATGTGGTCCTCCAACAGTGAATGGTATACAAACAACTCAGTAATTTTATATAAATAGGGAAAAAAATTCTAATGGAAAGTAGGGATTGTTGGTTATTCATAGAATTGTTATAAGAAGTTTCCAAAACAAAATAAATGCTGCAATAAAAAGTACATACACAAGTAAAATGATACTAGTTGGTTAGATTTTAAAACAATCTTTTGTAGCAGGACCCGTACTTCATTTTAACATTCATAATTTTTTATGTTGTACCTGTATAAAGTATATACTTTATCTTTAGAAACTGTTGCGTGTATATCCGTCGATATGTAGCGCCTTCTCTTGGGTTGAAAAGATATTTAAGTATGTGCATGATATGTTTACCATTTATAAAACATCTGTTTATATTTACTAAAATATCAAAAGTGGATACCCACAGACCAGTCAAGTAAGCTGGAGAAATCGTGTAGCAATAGTCCGAGCCATCTAGAGCTAGCCCCACTGACATGATAAGGTAGGTAGGTAATAAACAAAAATGTTGCTCTTTTAGAAATTTTTGAATTATTATGCCAGAAATGGTAGCGATCTTTTTAGCATATCATTATTATATATGCACATAATATATCATAACCAATACTTTTAATGGTCAGTTTTTCACTTAGGAATTCAATAGGATGGTTTTTCGGCAAATGCATTATTTGGAAACTTTGTCGACCCCTACTATTAAGTACTACTGTACTTAATAATACTAGAGACAGCTGATACTGGTATTAAAACCTTTTATTTAAAACACAAAACAAGTAATGATGTTTTGACCATCAGGTTTAACCATATCTGCACGGACATTCTTTACTGCACGTCACAAGGCATTTAGTGATTTACATTAGAAATTTAAACTACTTTTTGTATATGTTATAACAATTACCATGGTATAAATTTGTAGCTAATAATCCATATTTTAATAGAATATTTGGTTTTAAGCTCTTAATTTTATATAGCAATATTAAAAAAAAATCCTGAATTTCCCCTAGTGTGAGAAATGACATTTTTTTTTCTCTAGGGATCTCCTCTTCTCTAATTTATACACCACCACTCCAATAAGTACAAAATGTAATACAAATTACTCACTACAAAATCGTCATCTCTCAGACAAAGCATAATTTTATAGCCTTCAATCTTGTTTGGTTATAAATCCAATAAAACAGAAAATCAGACCCCTCTTGTCACATCCTCTGTTTCAGAATTTGTTAATAGTTCTCTCTTACATTCAATTCTATATTATTTATAACTAACAGAAAGCCATGGTTTTCATCTATCAAATGATGCATTATATTACGTTGTTTTTTGAACAGAGAATTGTCAATTTCTCTTTCAGTACAAGCTTCGTTCGCACGGGTAACATACTGACTAGCTTTGATGAATTTGTAACAGCTCTTGTCGCATACTTAGAAATCTAGAAAAATTATGATTGTTATGGGACATTGCCTGCTTTTTGCATATTATTATTCTATGTTCTTTGGTGCATTACTTAATTAAATAAAAATTATTTATTGCACTACTACCATTAGTATAAAAAAGTAGGGTTAAGTGTCATCGACAGTCGACAGAAAAAAAAGTAAGTACTTTATTTCTTGTTATTACAAAAGTAATTAAAATGTAAAAACAGGAATCTCTTTTGACCAACCTTGGATAGAAAAAAATAACATAAAATATAAAGTTTTACTCAAAATAAGCGTTTGAAATGTATTTAGAAGGTTTTATGTGATTATGTAAATGAAATTTGAGATTTTTTAGGTGAATTAAAGCACTTTTAATCTCAACATGAGAATTACCTTGCTCTCAGACTAGTAAAAAAAGACTTGATATAATCACAGACAAATCTTTTTTTTAGTTTATTAAAAATATTTCATAAAAAATCTATTTTTTTTATATGTGAAAGGCTTGTAATGTTTACTGAAAGTTTGCCAAATTTTGTGAAGATACACATAATATATCAAAAGTTAGTGGTACCAAAATTAATGAATTTAAATGAGTACAAAGTCCTCACATGGTCAGTCAATTCAACTGAGTCTGTGTAGAAAGAGTTAAGTGGGTGCCTCAACATCACAAGGTCAGTAATTTGATGGTCAACTGTCATGATTTGTTCATTATAATATTTTCTAAAAATACAACTATTAAACTATTACAAATGTGTTTTTCACAGTACATTAAGATTTTTTCAATATGTTTATGTCCATTTGTAAGAGCGAAGGAGATAATTTTGACAATAGTATTAAAAGTAAAACCTGATTCTAAGAATACAACAGTTTTGCTTTAGAATTTTTCATATTACAGAATTTCTTAAAAGCAATATATTTCATACACTTACAGTTATGTAAACAATAAATATAAAAATTACAACTTCAGTATCTCTACAATGTATAATGTAGAAGTTCTAAGTGTCTACTTACAAAGAAGCAACATATTTACCAATAATTTTATCTGATGTATTACACGCTAATGCAAAGCGTGTTGTCTTTGAGTAGATCTCCATGGTTCTCCGTAGTGCTTGTTGTGCGCCCTCTGTCATGCTAGAGAAAATAAACATTTTTAACAGAACATATAATGTACAATTTGAGGTATCACTGGTTATCATTATCTTACTCCTTTCTGCTTTGTTTGTAAATAAAGTTCAAAGATTCAAAGGACAAATATCAATACTAAATAACGAAAAAGTCCAGTCCAGTCTTAAACATCAAAAGAAAGAAAAAAATCTTTAAAACATAACTGCACTTAAACCAATGTTTACATTTTTTGGCTTATATTATGATAACTGAAAGTTAACATTTTATTAAATTTACAAAAATACTTCCTTCGCTGAAACTTATAGCTATTCCTCGACCTCCAGGGTTTCAACTTTGCCCATCAAAGCATTGGTCTGATTTTTTCTTGCTTGCTCCCATCTTTTATACCACACTCAGTTGCTCTTGGCAATATACTCTCCATCTTGGTAGTGTATATAAGCACCTCATTTAGATAATTTTATTACTTTTTCGAGACTAACACCATCTCAGTCTCCTAACACCAACTCTTAGTGGGGAGGAAGGGCAGGAGAGTGTCAGCAGAGGTAACTATTATTGGAAATACATTTTCAATTTAGGAAAATGTTAACTTCCAAAACATACTATTTGCCAACACTTATAGCTAGAATCCTACACTGAGAAGGTGGAGGGATCAGTGAGAGCATTATCCATACAGAAAGCATCTGCATAGAACAGGGGTGCACCAAGGTAAGAGTGGTATTCGAGTGGGGGAACTGCATTACATCCAGAACAGGTATGCTCTTTACCCGGAACTTAGTTCCTGTATCAAGGGTGGAATAGTACATGAGTAATCATCATTATAGGCCAGCCCAAACCAGATAGCCAAAGTTCCACAACTCGTGGTTGGAATTAAGGGGTCTTGGTCCCTATATTCCATGTCAGTAGATAGGAAAATTGGACTGCAACATTATATATAGATATAATTTTGATTGAATCCCAACCTGTAGCCATAGAGTGATGCATTCAGATCTACCAGAATCACGATGAGAAAGTAAGCAACACAGAAGCGGACAAACTTTCTCCTCCACCTCAAGAAGTCCGAAAGGCAATACCCCAGGCTCGGAACAACAGGATCATGTATGCCTTACTCAACCAAAGGAACAGAACTCATCCAGTCTGGAATTATGAACATTCATCCTCACTCCCCAACCAGGATGGGATCATTTCACATTTGGAATTACAAGGAGACAGTGGACCTCTTTCCATGAACAATATACTTAGCCAATACTGATCAAAAAGAAGGGTCATGCACACCCCAACCGGATAGCTTAGCATCAAATCTGAACTGGTGTTAAGAGTAGGCTCCTGTGTCACTCCTACCAACATCTGGGGAAAAAACTCAAACACTCTGGAGGAAAAGGCTCTGTTCACCACCCCAGCAACTACAAACTGGGTGTGATAAGACTCCTTGGCTCCACTAGTAGAATCTGGGGGGGTGATACACACTCGGGAGTCTTGAGGAGCAGTGGTCTGGAAACAGTGCAATAGGTAAGTCAAGTTCCCTATATCTTTAAAAGCAAACCAGCCCTGATTTATTCAATCTGATGACTAGAAGAGATAAGCAGGGTCCCTTTTAGCTTTACTCATGATAGTCCATGAGTGGCAGTCCAGCATAATATGGTAATACCATCTGGTGAGCTCCTAGACGGTCTAATGGAACACCTCATTTCTATAGAGCCTGTTACAACCAGAAGTAAGTATAGTTAAATTGGTTGTTAATACAGAATTGGACTGATAAAAGCACACCTGTTTGTGCAACACTCGCCACAGAGTGGAATCTATTAAAAAAAAGGAGGTAAGGGACTCTGGAAAGTAAAGAGACAAGAGGAAGGCAAAAATTTTAACTCCTCCTTATAATCTAGCAGGTGTTGTCAAAATGGTCAAGGGGTAGTCAAAAAACCCTCAGAAGACGAAACTTCAGATTGTGTAAAGAACTTGAGAGAAAAGTATTTGGAGAAGACCACATACCAGCCCATACGATGTCCTTCAGCAGGTAATTCAAATAGCAGCTAAAGATACAGAAATGTGACAAAACTGATGAGATGTGATTCTCAGAAATTTCCTCGCCTGTAAAGAAAGTCCAGAATAAACAATATAGATCAATTTGTGAAATCCCCTCATCAAAATAACTGGGGATACATCTCGGGAAACTGAAGGATGCCAATGAATAAAAGTTGAGTTCCATCACCTTCAAATGAGTTAGTGCAAGCCACATAATGCTGGAGCTGGATGGTGTCACAATTTTTTTTATAATGATTATTGAATATAATTTATACATAAAGCCAATAGGTGATGTGAAAATCACAACCAGATACATTAATTATCGCAGCACTTGTGTAGAGAAACCCGTGTATAAACGTTTTGTCGAGAAAAAGTGATAAAATTATCTGAATGAGATACTTTTATACAGTACCAGGATAGAAAGTGCATTGATGTAGGTGGAGAGTATATAGCCAAAATCAACTGAGTAGGTATAAAAGACTGGAGCAAGTGAGAAAACATCAAACCATGCTTAAATGGGTAAGGTTGAAACCCTGGAGGTCGAGGAATAGCTGTAAGTGTCAGAGTTTGGTAAGTATGTTTTGGAAATCACTTTTTCTTCTAAAACTTTGAATTGCTTATAATTTTTTAAAGTTATATATTCCAAGGAGTGAGACTGGAACATTCAATAATAAATTCCTGTGTTAACATTTGCTTACACAAAAGCATGTGATGACCTGAAACCCTGAAATGACAATAAACCAAATTTCAGACTTGTGGGTTTATAGATGGAACGAGATTGAACTAAATGAGAGAGTTAAATAGAGTAAATCACAACTAACTGTGCATCTTTCACTAGGAGTCTGAGCTAACTTTTGCTGCACAGTAAAGCTGTTCATATATATAAAAGCTGATTGGTCCATTAGAAAAACTCCTCTTAATATTCCAGAATTTTTTAGATACAAAAATTTATCAGAGTAATCAAAATAATAGTTTAAATTATACTTTAACTGAGAGAACCTAAAATTTTTCTACATTTTCTGTTATAGAAAACATTAGTTTTTTAAAGTTCAACAAATTATGCTTTGTTGTACATTTGATTCTAGTTTTGTTATAGCAAACTTTATAGTTTTTTGAAAATTCAACAAGTTCTGCTTTTTGTACAAATGATGTTAGTTTTCTATATATGCTTATTGCAGGAGGGGAGGCTCAAACAGTTTACTAGAAAGTGAAAACGAATTTTGGTTTGCAACCATAAAAAGTTCTGCTAACTGCATGCCACAATTTATTATGGTCACTCCATCACCATATCCTGTCCAGACAAATCTTAAGATGGTATTACAAAGCCACACACATAAGATGCTTTCATTGTTTTAAGAAAAATGTGACTTTAAGGTAATTAAGCTAGTGAAAAAATAAATAAATGTAACTTTATTTTTGGGTTTACACCCTTTCAATTACTCACTACTGAAACTTCTAAATAAAAGCTTCTCATGAAAGTAAAAAGATACAAGTTCAGGGCTTATAAAATTTATGTCACACTTGAGAACTCTTTAGTGACACACATAAACACCAATAGCTGACTCATCTCATACACAAATGAGATAGAAAATCATGAAGTGCTGAAATGTTAAACTTAAGTGACGACAAAGCACAAAGCTACAAGATGAAATGAAGAATAAATCACCATGGGTAACAAAGAAGTGTAGTTTAAAATATGCCAAGCTACTTTAATTTTCTTGTCTTATATGATTTCTTCATTGGTCATTGTTTACAACATTTTTTTTTTATTTTCACACTACAAGATAATTAATATCAGATTCAACAAAATAATCTAAACTCCTACACAACAGAAACAATGAACAAATATACAGTACTGAAAATAATTATGAAAATTGTTTTAAAAAAAGTACAAAAGGCAAATATTACAGGAATGCCACTATTTTATTGTGTGAATACGAATGCACCAGAGTACAGCCACATGTTGATAAGTGCACCGATAAGTTGTCTTACAACTAATCATAAAATGTCACACCAATATAAGGTCTATTATTATACCCAGTATTAGCAATACAAACAGTATTACTGTTTCAAGTAATACTAGTGCAAGCATACTATGTCCAATATTAGCAGCAGTAGTATGAATCCACTCATGACTCAATACAACCTGTATGCAAGACTCTGAAGAAGGACAGAGAAATTGGTAATCTTAATTACAGAATTGTTTGAAGTAGAAAACTGAAACTCCTCAAAAATAAAATTAATTATCTCAGGGTAAGTTATTTATGAGAATGATGATAGTCAAATATAAATCACATAAATACAGGTGTGAACGTTACCTTGAGAATATAAATTACACATTTACATTAAGTAGTGCTAGAACATGAGTAACTGCTAAAACAAAACAGCTGCTGAGAAGTCATTAAACCTAAAGGCTGAAATAGGCATCAAACCACAAACAGTGAAATTGGCAAAGCTGAAGATGTGTGCTCTTTAAAGATGAATCCAAGTTCAATTTAATTAGTAAAAACAACAACAGTTTGTTCAACAGAGGAGATCAGAATGATATTATAGTCAAAGTATGACATATCCAGCACGGTGGAAGATCAATGTACGTTTCGGGCTGCAACTCAGCCAATAGTGTCGAAGATCTACACAAAATTGATGGCACAAGGGCCTGCAAGTACAAAAATATTATGATCCATGCTATCATTAAGAACATAACTAATTGAGTGGGGATTCATTTTACAGAAATGATTCTAATGATACAGAAAATGTGGTGAAACAATATCTTGACTGTAAGAATGCTAGTGGAAAACTCAAAACCATGGTTTGACCAGCACAAATTCCTGATATTAACTCTTTGACTAAGGGGTTAAGTGCATTGCACCTATTACATAAACACCAAAGTAACCATGAAATTAATCATACTATAACTTTTGATAATGTACACATATCTTCATGAATTTCACAGATTATCAGTAAACATTACAAGGCTTCTGCACACAAAATATCAGGTATTTTAATTAAAAATTTGCTCATGAATTTTTTTTTTTGGAAACTTGACTATCCAACATGCAAATAATTTTGATTTTAAGATTAAAAATACTTTTCTTCATCTGAAAATTGTCAAATATCATTTGCATAATCTAATTTCAGAAAAACTTTGAACGGCCTCATAACCACCATAAAAAATTAGGAAATAAATCTAAAATACCCATTTTTCTTTTTATAATGACTGCAAATTATAAAGAAATAACAGCACAAGATCAAGTTATATTTATTAATGTTTTTGTTTTATTGACCTCTGAACTGTGTCTAATTAATAATCCACCACACAGGTTATAAATCATGTGGTGCATGTGAAACTTATGTTACCAGACTGAATGGCATGAAATTGGCTTTTATAAAGTACAAATGTCTTGCTCTTCTTTGTCTTAGTACTAGCATACCAGTAGTTTGTAAAATACAGTGACATTTCAATTAACACACATTACATATGTATATATATATATATATATATTACTATTATTTATAATACATTTTCAAATTTCAGTTTTCTTAAAACATAGAACAGTAAATAAAAAATATAGAGAGAGAGAAAACAATGATCTTCACTACTTACGATATTACAAAGTATTTTAGTACTCATGTATCGTACTTGCTAAGCCTAGTTGAATTTTGCATGTGAAGGATGTATAAAATAATAAAATTTGCAGGTTTCATATATGCATTTTGAAATTACACAAAATTATAAATTATTCTACTAATACTACAAAAATCCACTGTAATTTATCAGACTTCCTAACTAAGCTGTATTTGGGTCTAGAAAATCTCATTTCTGATCAGAATATCACCTTAAGCACCACTTTTCAAACACTCCAATGGTTATAATGGCTTTACCCACATAAATAGTTTTGAAAGACTGACAGGATTACATAGTTCAAAATAAGCACTTTCAATTGGTTATAAACACATACATTAGAGAAGCAGGCAAAGGTAAACAAGTATTTTTCAAATGAAGAAGAGGTGGGTGGACTCACTGTGGTGGGATCGATACATTTTACATTCTAGCTTGTCAATATCGGTAACTTGAGTTTCTAATTCATTAAAAACTGTAAACTTTACATTATATGACACCCACAATACAATCTGAGCAAAAGCAGAAGACAATGTACCATGTGACAAATAAAAAATTGATATTTAGCCTTTTTTTTATATTTACTTCTGAACTACAAACTACAACTTGATTCCAAATTTATGGATACACATTTATAAAAATAGTAGTTTAATAAAAGTTTGAACATAAGTCTACAAAACATGATGCTGTATGGGATAGGTAAAAACTGAAGAGGTGAAAAGGCAATAAAACAACTTAGCTGAGTTGTGGGTAATAAAACAGAACATTTTGCACAACTGCAAACAAACTCTGCGACAAAACATTTTAGCTGAATTGTGAGGAAAAATAAAGGATATTTTGCACAATATAAACTATGTGACTAAACAACCTCGCTAAATTGTAAGAATAATACAACACATTTAGAACAATCTTTCACAACTGCACTTTGGTAACCTCTACAGCAGCATAAAAACTGGGTGTAACTGTACAAGTTGTTTGCTTTTTTCATTTCCCGTACTTATGGTTTTTGCCACTAATTTGAGTTCAGTATCTAGTTACCATTATTTGTTGTTTGTGACTCCTGTAGGTATGCCATTTCTGTTTCCATAATTATTTTCATTACTGTACATCACTACAAGTATACTTCATTGGTTGATGCTTACCTGTCTGCTTCATCTAAGATGATAATCTTTTGCTTTCCTTTTGGTAAAGTGACCTTCTGTTGAGCAAACATTTTAATTTTGTTCCTCACCACATCAATGCCTCTGAAATTTTCAATGAAGATAAGTATACTAAGACTATTTCCCTTACCTTGTAGCAACTTCAAACATTCTATATATGCCCATATGTTACACAGTTTAGTAGATCATTAAACTGATTAATATTACCACAATTAAAAACTCCAGCCTTAAAAAAAAATATTTCAAAAATTAGGTAAACTTCTTTTACATCAATTGGTTTGTAACCTAAAAGAGCAACTATATTTAATGGTAATAATAAAAAAATGTTAATTAACTTTTGGATATATATATAGATATATCAAAATAAATTCATGGATTCTTACCTGTCATTAGAAGCATTTAATTCTAATATACCATCTTTATAGGAAGGACCAAGCATAGTGCGAGCTAAACAGAGGATTGTTGTGGTCTTTCCAACACCAGGTGGTCCCTAAATTCAAATCAGCAATTGTAAATATTCATGACAGAAATAACCAATGTAATATACTAAGGACTAATTAAAAGACATCTCCACAATTAAGCCTGAAAAGCCTTACTGAGTAGATTCTAGTATAGGAAAACAGATTGACATTTTGGTGCCTTACTAAGTAAGCTCTAGTAAGGAAAGACAGTCTGAGCTTGAATTATCTTATTTAAGTAGATTTTAGTAGGAAAACAGATTATGCTTGAGGTATCTTACTGAGAAGGTTCTTGTACAGGAAAACAGATTAAGCTTAAAGTATCTTACTAAATAAGGGCCATTGGAGAGAAACGGAATAAGCTTAAGGTACTTTAAGTTCTTATGGTAAAGTTGTAGGGTTAGGGTGTCAACTGTTGTTCAAAGTTAATATCCCCAAGACAACTACTATGTTTCTCAAGGTTTGGCTGAGATACACTGATGATACATTCTAAGTATGGCCACACACTACAGATAAAATTCAAGAATTCATAAACACCTGAACAAATAACATCCACAATACAATTCATGGTGGAAATACAAAAATATACCAAACTCCCATGGTTACCATGACACATAATTCATATACCACAGGAGACCCACAGATAAATCAAACCACTTCAACAATGTTAAGACAGACATCAAAGACAGCCTAGTTTCCAAAATGAACAAGATTTGATATAGTCACTATACTATATCACCTTTGATTCAAAGGTAAACCCAAGTGTTGCCTGTATAGGATGTTTGTATGCAAAATGCAGGCATCCACACAAACAGATGAAAAATGGTTGTTCCCAAAACAGTTTTTAGTGTGTTATACACATCCAGCAATTTAATTAATCTTAGTTCACATTAATTTTGTCACCAACTTTGAATGCACTTATAAGTTACTGGCCAAGGCTTAACTTACTGATATGCACATTAACTGAGTTACAAGTTACTTGCAAACTTTAGGTTATTTGCTAACTTTGTGTCAAGTAAGCATTTACTAAAGTAATTAGGGAACCGATTTTGTGACCTTTATCATTTAAGCACCAATTTAAACATAATTAAATATTTTTATTTTATGTACAGTATTAAATGTTTGTTGAATATTTATTTCTTATAAACTGGTAAGCCTATACATAGGTTGTTTTTGGTAAATTTCTGTGTTGTCAGTCACTAAGATTATATTTTACATATATTCTACTCTCCGTTTATTTTATTATTTCAAGCTTTGCTCTTTTTAAATTGTTTTATTACAATGTATGTTATGCAAAATTTATATGTTTATACATTTGTGCTTTTAAAGCTTTAAAAAGGTGTTTGAAGATGATGAAAAGACTTCCTAGCACTACTGGTACTGCTAGTGATGGTCTTTTTTTATTCCAACATCCCTCTTCAACCTTGAACAAATGTAGTTCACCATGCACAAGCTAAGGAAGAATACAGAAAGCTTCTTAATAAAACAGCTTACTTGCTTGCTGTGGATGGACAGCCTCTGTCAGCTTACAAAACTCTACTTAAAGTGCAAAAACAAAATGGGGACAACTGATATCAAATTTTGATAATACCAATAGAAAGAAATAATTTATTCATGTTATTGCAAAAGCTATTCTTGAGAAAGTAGCAGTGATTATATGTTCAACAATAACTTTTGTATAGCTTAATGTTGGAAGTCAGGCAAGAAAAACTAGTTCTGAAAAAAAGAGCACTGTTTTCATTAGCTGCATTGCCAAAGATGCTGAATTTGTTGGTTGTAATTCTAATGTCACAGTCTTGCAAACATGGATGAAGAATGGCCAATTGATTATGTACTGTTACGTATCTACTCGTTTGTTAATTTCCGGTATAAATTCTTTCAAAAGAACTTCAGCGATACAAGTCCTTTCTTAATTAAAACTAGTTTATTCTTTCTTGATACAACTTTGTAATACACAGAATTTCCACAGTCACTTTAAACTTGTCAACCTTTATAACACACACACACGCTATAAATCACAGTGGTTCACACACTTTACTTACGGTGCCTACCGGTCGCTTGACTCAATTATCTATGTTTTCAATCTATCTGCATATCTATCTATCACTGGCTTTATTTATTGGGCTTATATACTAAAAAAGAGGGTGCCTGGCAAACACTCGGATATTCACGAAGTTCCTCGATAAGTCATAATCCTTCTAGAAACTCCAGCGCGAATGCTCCCAGCGTCGCGTGACTTCCGGTGTTGTAACAGTACTGTATTTTTCACATGCTCTTTAATTCTTGAGCTCAAACAACAAATTGTACAGCCCACATAACCATGGTTACACCTTGAACATGTATACTTGTAGATGACATAAGAATGATGCATTTTAGGGATCTTGTCTTTAAATTTGAAATAATTACATATACGACATATCAGTTTGAATACAATTCTAAATTACCTTATGGATAAATTTTGTTTTTAAGTTAAAACTGTTTTCAAACTGATATCTAAAAAGAAACCCTAATGGTGTATTCAAAGCTGATGGAAAAGTTTCAATTCCAGCAGAGAAATACACTTACCTGCTAGTTTCAGCCAATGAAGCCTCTGTTAATACTGGAGTTTACAATGGATTGCTAACAAAACTGATAAAATATCAATCGCCTTTGCTTCTATGCATTCACTGCATTCCCCATACAGTTGAACTGGCATTCAAGACTGTGTATATAAATAACTTGCTGATGTGAAAGACTTCATGACAACTATATATTCTATATTCAGACAATCTGGAATGTTGAAAAGGCACCTTGAGACAATTAGTGCATTTGGTGTGCAGCATTTTAGTTTTCCCAAAGTGCATGGTTCACGATTTGTTACACATATAAGATGTGGAGTAAATCATTTACTGAGTAATTGGTTAAGGAGAGAGTAGTATTAATTAGATTTCATGGACTCTTAATAAACATGAAATATTTTACTTTTCTGTCAAAATATTGTCTGTATAAAGGTGTGCTGGATGCATGTTCTGTTCTGTCTATGCAGTTTGAAAAAGAAAACATTTTATGCTACCAGATAATGCACACAGTAGAAAAAACAAAGGATACCTTACAGAAACTTCAGGTACACACTGTGAAAATCTTTAGAAAAAGTTCAGACTTGAACTGGAAATGAAATGGGGTTCCTGAAATCTTAAGAGCACTTTGCTTAAAGCACAGCACTAGAAAAAGAAAAAAAACAAGGAATACACTACAGCCTAATGAACAACGTAGACTGTGCTGAGAAAACTGTATACAAACTGAGAATTACAGTCATTCCAAGTGTACAGACTTGTCTGGAAACAAGATTCTCCTTATTTGAGAGTGAACGTTATCAAAGTATGTTTTGGATAGATCCAACAAACTGGGATAACACCACCAGGGAAATTAAGTGTTTACATTTACATGTAGAGCATTTTTGAGACACTAAACATGAACAATTTTTAATAAAACTAAAACAAGCTCAGAATGGAAAAAAATAAATAGAATGGTTAAGTACCACATGAATGGATTCAAAACTAAGAATATTGTGGCTCTATACAGAAAGAAGGAATTTAAGAATGTTTGTACGCTGACGGAAATAGTGATTTACATAGAGCCCAGTAACAGTGTCGTTGAGGCACGGTTTAGTCACCTTACCCAGATTCTCACTGACCAAAGGTTTAAGTTTAAAACATGCAACAGTGGAGAAGGTTCTATATATTAAAACAAATGAATTTGTATGTATACGAGGAAAATGAACAAATATTAAAGGCAGGCTTAGTGAAGTTTATGGCAAAAATGACAAAAAGGAAATTTGATAGAAATCCTTCCAATATGTTTATAGTATGTCACATATACACAATAAATTGTATTCTGTTGGTGATGAGGATTTAAGTCATCATGGACATCATGATGAGGATGATTGTGATTCTAGCATGTCTAGTAGATCAAATGATCAGGCTGAAACAGATGAGATTCTTTTTCAAGAACTCATTGCACAGAAATGATTTCATGTTGACACTGACACTACTGATGGAGATGATTCTCCTGTGAGGATAATGACTGAATATGCTTCACTATCTAACAGTTAAACACAAACAGCACAAAGTAGCTTGATACATAAAAATGACTATGCAAAGTAGATTTATTTCAATGTAACTCAGTATATTTTATGAGATATATGGTTATGCAAATTTGACTTAATTTTTTGAAGAGATAGTGAAACTGAAGAAAGCTATTATCATATGATTCTAGTCAAGATGTTATGTGCCAGACTTTAAGGAACTTATAACATTATAATTTTTCCACTTTTACTATTGATTGTTACCTTGTTATTCATCAAATAAACGTGCCAGGCTTTATACTTGCCTTATATTCTTACTTTGAAATACAACCACAAGTTTACTTAATAGAAATATGGTAAAATTCAGTCAATATAAATTAACTTTTATTGTCCAATTTTATAAAAAAAGAATAGAGAAATGGCATCAGCCTGCTAACAGCCCCTGTGCATTTTTCAAGTGTCAGGGCCTGATATTTGGTTCCTTCTGCAATACCAAATGCATCTGGTCTAGAAATATTGTACATGCTCATAAGAGTCATCCAGGCACCAACCATGCAGATGAGGTGCCACATCTTGTCATTGGAATTATAGGGTTGTGAACAACAGAAGTAAGCAGCCAATGAGTGAGTTAGGTGACAAATTAGATGGGAGGACACTTGGAAATGCTGACATGCATCTCTATCCAGCAAAGAATACACTAAATAAATAAGCTGTCACACCCATCTAGTGGGAGTAACAGGAAAAACATTGCAAACTGATGAAAGATTCCACAAAAGGAAGAAATGCAAACCAAATAACAACAGTCTGCATCATCAAGACATATGAGGCAATTGGGAATAAATATGAAAAATGGAAGAAAAGATATGGGTGTTAAAAACACTATCACCCTAAGCGCTGCATACATTTTAGGGAGAAAAGCATAATCCAGATAAGGATATAGGAGCGATGAAATAGAATGCAAGAAGAATT